TTAGGAACAGAAAACTGAACACCTGGATGAAGAGGCAGGAGAAATTTAAATGAAGGAAATTGATACTGGCACATTTGGGCTGTGCTGGTGCCATTAATATAATCCTGATTATTGTATTTTATGTTCCTTTTGTTTTGTTTTATTATCCTTGATAATAATTTTGAAAGCCAAAATTAAAAACTTTTGCTCGGTCAAGATTTTTCCTCTGCTCTATATTTTAACATTAGCAATTCTATCTGTTAAAATTAACAGTCATTTTGAAAAACTGCAAAGCAGCTATGCACATGGATGTATATGGATGTCACCAGCAATCATCCCCCACCCAATAGTGAATGCACTGGGGAGAAAAATTATAGTTAGGCTGTTGATAACTTAAATACACAAGACTTAAGAACAAGGCAAAAAATGGTCAAGCACCATGCATTCCATATTTTAGAATAGCCAATTAATGTCATTGTTATTCCCTTATTCTTCCATTCTGTAGGCATACAGACACTTTCTCACTAGCATAAAGGTCATTGTAGTTGAGGCAAGCTCTTGTCCCCACAACCATATTCATTGACAGGCGGCATCCATTCAGTTTTCCACACTGCGGCCTTCAACTGCTTGTCTCCCAGCTAGAAATGAGGGTGGATTAAGAAATCCCTTCTTGGATTTCAACCCCTTCATATCTACTTAGGTTCTAGCAATAGCTGGTATTTTGTCCTGACCTCAGTGACCTCAGCCCCCAACATGTGGATTCCCCTCCTGCTTTTCCACTCCCAGCCACGTCAGGAATGTGAATGCCAATTACTTTCCTTCTGTGGGCATGTTTTATCTACAGGACTGCATGTTTTATCTGGGACTACTTAAAGCAAAAAAGAGTTTTTTATATTCTTTTTTAAAAGTGGATCCCTCTCATGTAAACATGAAATGGTCTGGATTTTGAAATAATTTAGAATGCATAGGGTGGATTGTAATCATATGTGGGAATGATTTTGGGAGACAGGGGAAGTACCACAGAGTAGATAAGGGTCAGGTAAGAAAGGCTGAGGGGATGCGGTGGCTCAGTGGCTAAGACGCTGAGCTTGTCAATCAGAAGGTCAGGAGTTCGGTGGTTCAAATCCCTACCTCCGTAACAGAGTAAGTTCCCGTTACTTGTCCCAGCTTCTGCCAACCTAGCAGTTCGAAAGTAGGTAAAAATGCAAATAGAAAAACAGGGAACCACCTTTGGTGAGAAGGTAACAGTGTTCCATGCGCCTTTGGTGTTTGATCATGTCAGCCACATCACCACGGAGACGTTTTCAGACAGCGCTGGCTCTTCGGGTTTGAAACAGAGATGAGCACCGCCCCCTAGAATTGGGAATGACTAGCACATAAGTGTGAGGGGAACCTTTACCTTTAAGAAAGGCTGAGTGTGCAGAAGAAATAGGAATATGGCAAATGTCTCAGAATGGTCCCTGCCTAGTAAAGGCAAGATGGGAGACATGAACTTGCAAGATTCTGTTAAAGTAAACTCCCAATAAAGTTAGAGCTAAAACTTCTGAGTGTGCTGCTTCTCTGGACTACGCCACCAGGCTGACAATATAGGTGTCAGATAAAAGGAATGGAGAACTAAGACAAATATATTTCATATTGTTTCTTTGAATTAATGGCAGAATGTGCAATGTTTACATTAGTTACATATTGACAGGGGAATTATCCAATCTAAACTAAGTACTGTACTTCTTGGTTCTAATTTCTAAAACCCTGAACAGTTTGAGAATTTGAAGGACTGTCCTTAGGCAAATCACTCTGCCTACATGATGAGATCCACTTTTACCCCTTGGTAAGCACAAAAGACAAGTCTTCTCCCACCCTGATAGGATTCTCTTTCAAGTGGGATTCTACAGGTTTCAGTGGCTCAACCCCATTAGGAACTCATAATGTTTGCTGCACTTTTTAAATATAGTTTTTATAATGCACTTGAGCTCTAGCTGCTTTTGCCATCTCTGTCTATAGAGCTGAATGCTCTTTTATTGCTATCACCATCTGTTACCGTTTAATGTAACTGTGATAGAGTATTTAATTATGTTTTATATAGTTATAAATGTTTTAATTTGACTATATTTCTGAGCTGTTTTACAAGAATATTCTCTCTAAGGTGGGATAAAGATTTATTACATAGTACTAATAGTATTAGCATAACTAATGACAAATCTAATGCCCTCTCATCAGAGCTCTGCAGTTCCTGGGGCTGCTTGCTACCCTGCCAGGCAGGATGCAGCATGGGCAGAGAGACAGAGATGGGGGAGACAGCTGGGTAGGAGAAGTTGAAGAGGAAGTCTCTTAACTTCACTGAGACTCAGGGCTAGGAGGGACCAAACCAGGAATGGCTTGGACTAGGGTGGGTGCCCAGCTAATGGAATTTAGTTCATGACAGGAATGGGAAATGCGGAGATTGCCATTGTTACGTGAACCAGTAATGTGACATTGCACCTTACAACTGCACCACTGACCAATAGAAATTCTGGTCCCAATTGTGATGTCAAGGACTACCTGTAATTGCCAATAATAGGCAGAACATTTAGATTCAGAAGTTATTCACAACCAGGTTTCTTTCTTTTTTAGATATCATTACATTTGCCAAGCTAGACAGGCTTTAACCAAGATACTGAACCAAGAATATCCCAAACATCCGTTCCAAATATTGAACACTAGAAAACAAATTTCCATACTGCATTGGCTGTTGACTGGGACAACAAGGTCCTGTAACTAATACCATAGCTCCTGTGCATCAGGTGACAAGTGAGCTACAAGTTTTGGTTCCCTCTGCTAGGAAAGCAGACATCCACAAATGCAACAGCACACAACAGTGAACACATAAATTAATAACAAGATAAACTCATTTGTTAAAAAATGTATCAAATTCCCTCTCTCCCTGTTTAATAAACTAGACTTGAGTTCATTCATTTGTTTGTGCAGAGGATTAAAGAGCAGTTGTAGGCATGGTTCTGGTTTTACTTTACTTTTCTAAATACATACAAAATTGCATGAGATCTTCATGAATAAAAAGTAGGTGATGAAACTTTAATTGTGTATGGGTAAACATAGTTCAGTTAATACCTTTTTTTTTTTATTAAATGTTTTTTTTAGTTTTAGTTTAAAGCTGGTACAACATCTTTCTTAATATATCAATCAATTACAAATAATACAGAAAAAAAACAAAGACAACAATCAGAAAAACAAAACAAAACACAGGTATCTATTATGAAAAAATAANTCATGAGTGCATTTTGGTCACTTGGCAACCTGTTCACATTTATGACGTATTGCCAAGCGGTCTGTAATCGTGAAGATTACAAAGGGAGGGAACCAGAGATGGTATTCAGCAGGTTCTGACCAGTTCTGGAGAACCGGTAGCGGAAATTTTGAGTAGTTTGGAGAACCCGTAAATACCATCTCTGTCTTGCCCCACTCCCATCTATTCTCTGCCTCCCAAGTCCTAGATGATTGGGAGGAAAAGGGGATTTTGCAGTAACCTTTCCCTGGAGTGGGGAGGGAATGGAGATTTTACAGCTTCCTTCCCCTGCCACGCCCACCAAGCCGCACCCAAACCATGCCACGCCCACCAAACCATGCCTGCAGAGCTGGTAGTAAAAATTTTGGAATCCCACCACTGGAGGGAACGTTTCCCCAGCATGCTGAGAGATTTCCCCTCCCACTTACGCAAGAAATTTCACAGGCTCAAGTAACAGACCTCAAATTTGGCAAAAATGCTAGTAAACACCAGCATTCTAAACCTTTCATGATGAATGTCAGTATTTAAGTGAACACCATCTCCACTTTGCCAAAGGGAAAAACACTAGCAAATGCCAGCATTCTGAGCCTCCCAGAACGGTGTTTGCTAGCATTTTCACCAGATTTGAGGTCCATTCTTTAGTGTGCTAAGGGATTTTCCACTAAAGGGTAGGGACAGGGCATCTGGGTGTGGTAGCATTCGGCTTAAGGACCACAACTGAGAGAGCTGGGATTGTGATTGTTGAACAAAGCTGTCACATGGCATCTCACTTAACATGTGCTTTGCTCAACAACCATGATTTTGGGCTCAATTGTGGTTGTAAGTGGAGGACTATACACTTCGTGCCATACTGTATTTGCTTTAAATATTTGGACCTTGAAGCAACAGCACAGCACACAATAACATATGTGTATTCACATCCAAACGCAACAGTCGTTAGTAAGCTGTATATTTAGATTGCTGGTGAAATATGATTAAGAATCTAAATAATTTAAGGACAGCATGATTAAATATGCATAATTTAATGATACTGCAAAATATGCAGAATTGGAATGCAGTGGTAAGAGATGGAACAATAGAAATCTAAATGTAAGAACATTACATTTATTCCAAACATTGTGCTCAGAAAAAATAGTATGTTTTATTGTTGGTATACTATCTCCATTTTGATTGCTAAAATGGTTAATTTATTTTTAAATAATTGCTGGAAAGCTGGGATCATTTTTTTTCAATGTGGCAATGTTATAAAATTCAAGCTTTCTGAAAAATGACTCATGCTAGTTTGAAGGAAATTTTGCAAGCTGAATTCCCATTTCATTCTACAATATTTTTACAGGTGGAACTGGTATTTCTGTTACAAAGTGATGCTTTCTTAAAGTGTGACATCACGTGATAACACCTAGCAATGACAATAAGGACTATGTGGGTCATTGATGAAGGACCTCATGTGAACATGACTTCTGACTTCCTTCAGCTTCTCTTTTGACTTTGCTGGCAGGGAATGTTGGAAATTGTGATATGCCCATGGCTCACACCTTCATTTAAATGTCCAGGTATAAAATAATCCTGTTCTACAATAAAGAGCCTTGAGACAAAAATAGCTTTTTAAAATAAAAATGTGTTAGTGGGCTCCCGAAGATAAGAGATCCATTTGCTCAAAGTAACCCAGAAGTGAAACTTCTGCAGAAAATGTGCAATCAATTCCTGGAAGCTCTAATGCTGTTTTAGTGATTTTCCATTTTGCAATACAATACATGCTGAATGTTGACAATTATGAATATATAGCAGAAAATTAAATGTTAATATTATTAGAAATAGTTTATTTTTTTAAATGTGATTCCAATAATACACACATAAATAGCTTCAAGTTAAATAATAGGTTATATTAAAGATTTTTATTTAGGAATCAATATAATTTAGGAAGTAAATTGTACATGGATTATGCCAATCTGGCTTGAAACATAAAACTATAAAAGCATGAAAATTTTCATGTACACCAGTTACGTAAACACGGTTAATGTTTTTCTATTTAAATGTAAATCATGTTTTATTTAAAATTAATAACAATGAAGTACTTTGTAAAACAAAAAGCAGCAACTATAACAAACATTAAACACACATTACAACAAAATGTAAGTAAATATTAGTTTTCAAAAATGTAATCAACAGCCAAACACAGTTATTGCATTCAGCTCAAAATATCAAAGTAATTTTATCATCTTTCAAAATTTTAACTCTAAAGCTTAAAAATAATATATCCTCTCTAGAGCTAGGGGGAAAAACATTAAGTGTTTAAAGAATAATTTGAAGCCAAACTTCAAAGAATATTTATAATAAATCAAGCCTATTACCATTAAAAAAAATATTCTATGAAGTAAAGAACCAGATAACAATTAGGAATGTTTCTTCAAAAAGAAAATGAAAAACCTGACAAGATGAAGAAGGTCTGGAAAATAGGACTTAAAATCAAAACTGAGCTCAGTCTTTGTTTAAGAGTTAATAATCTCCACTGCCTATGCCAGTGTTAAAACAGTATGACTGTAACTAGAAACAAATAATACCAGATGGAAGTGTGTTAGTCTTTTCGAACTCTTCGTTTACGTACTGATTTTGCAGGTCCATCAACAGACCCAGTACTTTCATCTGCTTCTCTCATCTGGGGGGGGGGGGAAGGAAAATATGCATGAAAATTGTCAAAATAAGTTATGATTCACTATTATTCATCTTGATTACAACTAAATATTAAGTTTACTTTTGAAAATATTTTTAAATATTAATGTTTTTATTTCTTAGAGCATTAAGAAAATCAATAATTTGCATTTACAAATATGGCTTGCTTATAATTCTTTTTAAGCATTATAACTTGTATTACTTATAGAAAGAAGGGGAAAACCGAAGTGTAGGATACTTACTGAATCCAACATATTTAAATCAATAATTCTTTCCATATTGACTTAAAAGTATCTGCTTTCTAGTGTATATAGATCCCAATTCACTAGAACTCTAGTATCTCAGGAAACAATTATGTCAGTAAGAAAGTTATGGAATGGAATGTCAAATAAAAAGATCTGATCCTTTTTCCCATGCTAAATTGACTTTATGGGAAACCCAACTTAAAAAAATTGGGAAAAGATGATGATATGGAAAAGTTGGATGGAAACAGGTATTTGGATCAATTAATAGATGATAATGAATTTTTAACATATGCCTTATTACAAGAAATATAATATATCAGATGTAACCTAATGACAATGTTTACATATTTGCAGTTACACTTGTTAACAACATTGTTAGCATTTTCATCTGAGATACTAGAACAAGTGATTAAATCTTTCAACATATCTATCTATCTATCTATCTATCTATCTATCTATCTATCTATCTATCTATCTATCTATCTATCTATCTATCTATCTATCTATCTGTTATAAATAAATCAAATTGCTATATATTTGGTAAGAAATGAGTGGAATAAAGAATTAGATTTATGCAATTCTATATTGCATAAATAATGGGAGAATATCTTAACCTACAGCAACAGTGCCAACAGTATCTTTAATTATGGCATACAACAAAAATATATAGAATTTATTGCACTTCCTTACATCTGAACAAAAAAAGATTGTCTAAGACAGCATAATAAAATAATGCTTCTTTACTGTATAAATCCAGTATATATATGGCTCTGTGTGTGTGTGTGTATGTTCCAGCATAACTCTGGAACACCTTGAGCAATTTCAACCAAACTTGGTACACGGATTACCTACTCTCTGGAAAGAAATACTGTGGTGGTAAGACACCCCAAACACCCCTCGAAGTGTGTGTTAAGATACAGCCTGTTGTGCCTTAAAATGGCTTCTATTGTACTGCTTTAAAATGTCTTCTACTGTACAGCGCTGTGGAGTTGCCATGGTAATGGCTTCACAGTACTGCTCAAGGGAGCTCCCGCTGGTAAGCGGGGAAATCCAACATTAGAGATTGTGGTGAGGTTCATGGAAGGAGGGTTGGGATAAATAAATACCAGCACAGCACTGGGCTATCAGCTAGTGTCCTATACTTAGCAAGTTTTGGGAGAATGTAATGGACTATACAAACATGACTGTCAAAAGCTAAAATTTTCAGAGATCTATGGTACTGGGAATTTGATAACTGGATTCTGACAACTATATACCTAGCACTTGGATTTTGGCAACATAAATGGATTCTTCATGTCCTTACTATGGATGAAAAACTAATATTGCAATATATGAAAAATAAATGTACGGCTCCATTCACTCAATGGTTTTGAAGACCTCACTCTGCTTATAACGTATGAGCAGATTGCCTACAGACCTAAATTTAGTATGGACAGCTATAATGAAATATGAAAATCAGGAGTGTTTTTCTAGATCTACATATTTCTGCTTTCAATTTATTCTATATGTACCTTAAAGAGAATTGGCAGAACTAAAACTTTTTACATTCAGTAATTCTAGAAAGTCTCACCTCATCCTCTTCTGAATGAGATTTATTATCATCCTCCTCTTGACTTCTTTCAGCGATGTCATTTTCTTCTTCATAATCATCATCTTCACCACCTTCAAATTCCAAGGGACCGTCAGTATTAAATATAATACAGTAAAGATAAAAAATAACAAGGACACATAGATTGTCTGATAAATAACTCCAGAATATGTTCTCAGGCCAGTTTGGTACAGTGGGTACAGAGTATATATAATACTAGGCTACAAACGAAGAATGTGAGTTCTAGTTCCACCTTAGATGCAAAACCATCCAACCACCTTAGGTCAATCACTCTTTACAAGCCCCAGAAAAGAGGCAATGGCAAACTACTTCCAAAATCCTGCCAAGAAAGTACTTGTATAGGCAGTTTCATGGTCAACTCTGAGCTGAGGGCACACACACAAAAATATGACTCTTTAAGGTATATATTGTAATAAAGTCTGTCAGCTAGCAAATCACATAATTATTTGATCTCACATTCATATTAATCAAATTTTGTAACTAGTCTCTCAATCAACTTTTCTGTCATTTCACATTTGGGTTGTAATGAAACTTGGAAGTAATCTGAAATGGCTATTTATAGGATGAATAGGGCAAATTGAGTGCATTTCTACCCCTCCTTTTATAATGCTGATGACATTATAATGACTGTGGATAGGACCAGTCCTTCCCTTTCCCTCTCATTATGCTTCCTCCTGCCAAAGAACACTTGGAGATACTTTTTTCTCCTTGTTTTATACTTCTACCTAGAAAAAACATACTTTGGTCCATATTCAGAGTAGCTCCACATTATTTCATATACAGGCCAGAACACCTATTCCAGATTGAATGCATAGAGTAGTTCATATACAGAATACTTTTAAATCACAACATGTGAAATGAAGTAGTGCCTTCCAGCTATGTAGGGATTACAGATTTTACTGAGGAACTCTGATGTGTATAATGATAAGGTGATATAGAGTGTATATAATACTGTAAGTACAGAATATTTAACAATGGTTTTCCAGATTGGAATATGTTTCAAATGTCAGCAACTAATGTAAACTATAGTTTATCACAGTTTCAAAAAAATATTGTCAAAACCTCTTACCTCCTTCATCAATATTTTCATTTGTTTTTTTAATTTCATCCTTTTCTGATATCTCTTGTTCCAATTCTCCTTTTGTAATTGGCTTAGCTAAATCAGTTTTTTTGTAGTCTATATCGTCATCCATTTTCTAAAATAGAAGGATTAATTATGTCTGGTATTCAGACTTAATATTTTCAAAACATTACAAAACAATTGAATGTCTCGTGCTTGCCAATTTCCTTTCCTTCTTTCTCCCACTACAACATATTTTGAACCAAGAACAGATCAAGCAAATTATTGATTTTTATAGTAGATATAATGAAATAGTGTACCTTGGATGGCCAGCAGAACAATATGCCCATTCCTATTGGTAGTGCCAGTGTTAAGATATAAATAATCCAAAGCCATGGGCGTTCTTCTGCAGCAGTCACCAACTGGCTAAACATACCAGGCTGAAAAAGCAAAGGGCGTGCACTTATTTGAGAGCTCTAGCTTCATGGAATTTTCTTTTAAGACATTATGTTTTTCAAAAATGTTGATCAATTCATGAGCTATATCAATTATGACCAAGAGTGGTTAATACGAAAGAAACCTCTGAACATAAAGAAGCCACTATATTAATTATGCTGTATCTCAAATCAATAACAAAAATTGATCACATATCTGAAGAAAGAATATAGTGATTTGCTTCATGAAATGAGAATGATAGTGATTAACTAATATTTAAAAATAGTTTTGTTCTCAAACAGATTTTATCATAATCCAAGAATCGATAATATAATGTTGTATTTTCTATACTAAGAATTCCTCTCTACTACATTTTTTCTATATTCTTTAACCAAGTGTTATCCATTCTTCTCATGCTAAAATCAAGCTACAAAATATGCTAAGAAACGACAGTCTACCTGTTACAAACATTCTTACGAAATGTCTCCCAAAGTCATCCATTGGCATGAAGTCAGTTATATATTTAAAACTGACACATACATACATACACATGGCAGCTGTATCTAAAGAGCTTTTGCACATAAATATCTTGTGCACCAACTGCAGCCATTTCTTGGTTGAGAAGTCATGTTCATAATTACTCATGTTATAGTTCCCATTCAGTTTATAGTAGCAGATTTTACATAAGTGTCAAACTCGATTTCCTTGAGGACCGCATTAAGGTTGTGTTTGACCTCGGAGAGCAGGGGTCCATATGGTATGGCCGGGGGTTGGCATGACCAGCTAGAAATCACTTGAGTCGGGGGCACCTGTGGTGGTCACGTGCTAAGGCAGGACTTCCCTCAGACCCTCACTCCCTTATTATAATCTTCCGCCCTTCCTTCCCTCTTCATTCTCCTTTCTTCTTCCTTCCCCTCTTTCCTTATTTTTCCTTCCTTGTTGTCTTCCCACCATTCCTACTTTTTTTTTGTCTTTCCTCTTTCCCTTTCTCCTTTCCTATCCCTTCTTCCACGCTCAAATGCAAAAGGGGAAACATTTCTCTTTTATTTTTTTAATTAATTTTTTTTTATTTTTAATTTAAAACAAGTACATCTTTCTTTACATGCTATAGAAAGTGTGTCA